TGACTGATATTGCTGAGTGCTCACTGTGTGCCAGACACTATTTTAAGCCTTGAGGATGTAGTAACTCATTTGATCTTCCCAATAATGCCAGGGGTGAGTATTAGGGTCTCCACTAGGGAAGTATTACGATCCCCATTCTCTAGATGTGGCAGTGAGACTCAGAAGGTAACTGTCCTAGTCACACAGGGAGGACAATTCTATTTTCCCTGCAAAATTACTTCCCTGCCTCAGGGGTCATGCTTTCTCTCCTCCCTAGGTCTTGTGGGGTGCTCTGCCATCCAGCTGCACACCCACTGTCTTCTCCTGCTCCGGCTCATTCCCCCACCACCCAATTCCATTTAGTCATCATCTCCTGAGAAGATGCCCCCTCAATTCCTTAGGAGAAAGTTACTTTCCTTTGTCTTTGCTCCTCCACTTGAGTTAGCCCCTCATGTGGGTCCTGATCTGAATAAATGAGTCATTCAGATGCCTCATCTGCCTCACTGCTGAGACTCCAGGTTCCTTGAACTCAGATTTCCATCTGACTCATCCATTCTTCTCCCCAGTGAAACGGGCACTGGATAAACACTAAGGTGATGGGTGCTGATGTGTGGTGTGGGATAAAGTGTACAGATCTGTCACCCCATGTGTCCCTTCAGAAGGAGAAACCCTCTTCTCCCTCTTCCCGTCTCCCAGGCCCAGTGTACCCCCATGCTCCCATCAGCTCTGTGAATGCCTCACCCTGATAGTGGATCCGGAAGCCACCACCCCTCGGGGCCCGCGGGCTCTGGAAATGCAGGAGCAGCCGGTTGGTTGGACTCCGAAGGACTTGTCCTTCTCCTAGCATGGAGGAGTTGGCCAGGAGCCGGGGAGCCAGGCCTGGGGAACCCCCGCCAGCTAGCACCAGAAGCTCCTCCTCTCGTGACAGGTTCAGCATCTGCACCTAGAGAAGCCAGACCCCAACCACCAGGGCAAATCAGCCAGAGTGCGGAATGCCGGAGGCCCGCCCCCAGGCCGACCTGACTATCCCATCCCCCGGGGTTTGTTATAGCCTACACACTAGGGGGACATTGGTCAAGTGGAAGGACTCCAGGAGTGTATTTCCCATCATTGGAAAAAAGGCCTCTGTGAGTGAGAAAATAGGCTTTCTGGTTCCCAGTTGAAACCTGTGCGAATCCCAGGCCCAGGTTAGAGCCCCGAGTTCCACAACATCGCTAGTTACCTGGATCTCAATGCCGTAGCCAGGGTACACATGGATGCTGTAGGTGCAGTCCAGGAGCCCCGAGGCGCGGCTGGCAGCGCTCTCTAGATCTGGAGACTCCACATGCCCTTCGCCCTCGGAGATGTTGTTATTACACAGAACTAAAGAGATGTAGCGGCTGAGATTGGAAGAATGCCTGTTCTGGCCCTACCAGCCAAGCAACTCTGGAGTCCTCATCTGGCCTTCCCAGACCCCTCACCATCTTTACCCACTGCCCACTGCCCCTGCTGTGTTCCGAAACTCCGTTCTCCAACGGAGATGAGATACAGTATCTTGTTGCCTGGTACTCAGGCTAGCTTTCTTTACAAAGAGGAAGTCCTCTCCCATCTGGCCCTGGCCCCTGCTTCCTGCCCCCTCGCCTCTCCTCATCCATGCACATGCAGCCTGCCCACATCCCCACCTCACCTGGGCTGGTCACTGTGGTGGTGACAGTCGTCGTAGTGATGATGGTGGTGGTGGTCTCCTCTTCTCCAGCCTCCTGCCCGAGGGGTGGGCCAGGGGAGGCGGGACCGGCAAGGGGTGGAGCCGTAGTTCCGGGGGGCGGGGTCAGCAGCTCTGGTGCAGTGGGGCCTGCGCCCCTGTCCCCCTTAGGGGTTACGGCTGTTGTCAGAGGCCCTGTCCCCGGTTCAGTGGCCCGTGGCAGGGAGGGCGCTGCAAGAGTCTGGCCAGCTGGAGGGGTGCCTAGTGTGGGGTCTGGATCAGATCCTGGGACAGTGCAAGGGAAGTCAGGGCACAGGAGGAACAAATTGGCTGGTCTTGGGTGGGGGGCAGGGCGGAGGGAAACCGGGGGTGGGGGTTCCCCACCAAGGACCACTCCCACAAGATGCATGCCCCCACCTCGCCCTTCTTCTCCCAAACTTCCCACCTCCTGCGAACGCTTCCACAGCCTGGTACCCACTTCTTCCTCTTATTTTTTTTTAGCGTAGGAGTACTGCTATTTATTCAGCCATTGATTAAGCTGATTGAGTTGGTCATGAACTCCATGGGTACTCACTTATTTAAGCACTGTCCCTCCTCTTCCCCTCCCACCTCTCTAACCTGGCCTTTCAATTCTAACAGTCTCTTAGAATCTTTCTGCTTCCCCATTCAGATCTACTTCCTTTCCTGGGTACCCTTTTTTCTGCCCTCCTTCTTGTTCTCTGGAATGCTTTATTTATCTAATCAATATTCTTATCAGTCTTAATTTATGACTCCGGATCTACTAGTATCCATATTTTTCTTCCAGGTGTCTCTCTCCCTTTCTCTGATTCTGGATCTCTGAGTTTCTATCCATCTTTCTCTCTGAATTATGCTGCCTCTTAATCATTCTGGCTTGGTTTCTCAGACTCTCTGATTGTCTATTTCCAGTTTTTACTTTTTCTGTCTCAGCCTCCTGAATTTTATGGGTCAGGCTCCCCGTTGCCTGCCTGTGTTAACGTCCCACCCTTTGCTTCTATGTCACTCCTGCCTCTCTGGGGTCTCACCAGGCAGGAAGCCCATCTCTGGGCCTTTCCTCAGCAGGGCCCCATGGAGCAGCTCCGCCAAGGCCTCCGAGGCTACTGTAGGGATTTCACTTCCAGGTTCTGGCAGTGCCTCCTCCTCCTTCAGGGGCAACCCTGGGAGATGAAGTTGTATGAATCGGCATGCCCCACACTCCTTTCTTCCCCAAAAATCTTATGCACGGCTCTTCCTCCCCCTGCAGGGACTCACAGGGTCCAGGCTGAGCCAAGATGGGAGGAGGGGCTCCCCCTCTCCTCCCCCACTCCTCCCCAGGCTATGTGGGCCTTCACCAAGCGCTGACCCTCAGAGCCCTGGACAGCGCCAGCAGGGTGGAGAAGGAGCAGGGTGCCGCTTCATTTCCCCCTTGGTTCCTTGGTTTGCTCTCCCCCCAAACACTGGGGCTCTGCAGAGGGTCCGGTAGCACCTCCCAACAGCACCTTCCGCAGTGCCCGGCTTTCTCTCTGGGTTTCTGTCTCCGCAGTGTGGTTCTCTCTCTCTCTCTCTCTCTCTCTCTCTTGCTCTCGCTCTCTTTCTCCCCTCTTTCTCTCTCTCTCCTCCATCTCCCCTCTCTCTCTTGCTCCTTAGTCTCTGTCTTCATCCCTGGAGGCTGGCTGGGGGTCAGTTGGGAAACTGAGTATCTCCAGGTGCTTCCCTTCTCCTGTCTTTGTCCACATGTCCAAGAACACTGGGATGTGCATCTCTCCCAGCACCTCCATCTCCCATCCCCAACCTGCGTGCTTCTGCTGCCTCCGCAGACATTCCCCCGCCCCAACTTCCCTAGCCCTTCTTCCTGGATTTAACCCTTGAAAAGCTGCCAGAAATTCCTTCTAAATTCCAACCTCCTGGATATCGGGGGCTCTGGTTCAAGGTAGAGATTGGAGAGCCCTGGCTGGCCCTTCCCGTTAGCTGTGCCCCTCCCCTTCCCCCAGGAGCTCAGAAGGCTCTGGATGTTCAGAGAAAAGAAGGTACCGGAACCTGCTGGGGTCCCTCCGCGAGGCCCACCCCCATGCGCCCATGTCCTTACCCTGAATCCAGGGACAGCTCAGCAGAATTAGCAACAGCAGCTGGGGAGGCGGCGGGTGCTGGGCCCTGGAAGTCCCCATGGCGACTCGCACCGATCTCTCCTCTGCGCCTCTCCTGAATAATCTGTCACCTTTCCGCCGTCTCCTTTATCTCTCCCTTTAATTTTTTTTTCTGCTAAAAGTTAGCAAGAAAGACGATCTCTGTCCTTTGGAATGGACGGGGAAAATGGGCTGGGGGTCCCTGAGAGCCCACCCCTCGTTGTCTAATCTGCTCTGTCCTCTGCTCACGGGTCTGTGGGAGAGGGGGCGCGGCTTCGGCTCGGGCTGCAGGGGGTGGGGCCGAGAGGCCGGAGGGGCCGGGGCGCCTGGGTTACCCTCTAGCTCGAGCGCCTGGATTCATTGCGAAGGCTGGGTTTCGAGGTGGGGCGGTGGGGAGAAGCAAAATAGATTCCGGGGGTTGGGGGGCGGGGGCGGAGAATGGGGAGGGTCCCTGCAGTCGCCTTTGGGGCTTGGCAGGGAGGGAAGGAGGTTGCAGAACCCGGAGAGCCTAAGCCTGGGCACTGGAGCTGCGGGAGGGAGAAGCTGAGAAAGGTGTCGAACCCACGTCAGATCCTGGGGACGGCCGAAGGGAGGGGCCTGGGGATTTATTGGGGGACGGAGGGAGGGAGGAGGAGGAAGTGCAGATGGAGGAAGGAGGGACCATATGAGCTAGACCGTAATGCTCACTCCCGCGGCCCCTAGGGGAGGCAGAGAAAACTCTCCGGTCCCAGACGTAATTACACCCCCACCATTCCAAAACATCTGGAATTCGAATCTCCTCTTCCCGGGGTGCCGAGGGGCGGGACAGCTGCGTTGGAGCCAGCCCCGCCTCCTACCATGCCCCCTGCCCATATCCAGGCCCCCGATGGGACTCCTCTTTCCGTCTCCAGAAAAGGTGTGGAATGGGCTTTGCTCCCCTCCGGGAGAGCCGTGCGTTTTCATTGTTGCGAGAATCTTAGGGGTGGCAGGCCTGGAGCCGGGGAGGGTAGTAGACCCCTCCTCTTACACACAACTTGACTCTGCTCAGCTGCGTGGGGTCTCTTTTGTTTTTCTCCCTCTCTCCTGCTCACTCTCTCGCGCACGGGGCTCGGGGCGGCCCTTTCAGCACCAGCAGCGAGCGGACAGCTCCCCAGGGCCCGGCCGGCCGGGCGGGTGGGCGCCGCCCGGGATTGGCTAACGCCGCCGGCTCCGGGCGCCTGCTCCGCGCCTTGGCCGACCGGATGCGGGCGGGGGGTGCGGGGGACGCGGCCCGGCGGGCGGGGGTCGGCGGAGCGCAGGCGGCGGGGGCCGGAGGGTCTGCAGGCCTCCCGCGCCGCCCGGGCCCCGGGTCCGCACGCTCGCCCCGCCCCTCCGCCCGCCCCGCCCCTTCTTTTCGCATTGCGGGGCCGCTGGAGGTTGGCACCGTGCCCTGCGCGCCCCACGTGGAGCCCCAGGTCTGGCTGGGGGTGGGGGGAGGAAAATCTGGAGCCGATTCCCCTCCCCTCGCCCGAGCCTTTGGGTGGTTGATTCCTCACCCCCCAGCTGGAGTTGCGGCTGCTCCCGGCGGGGGCGGGGACGCGGGGACGGGTGACGTCAGGGCGAGTGGGAGCCGAGGCAGGAGCGAGTAGGAGAGAGCGAGCGAGAGCGAGGAGAGCGGGAGAGGGGCCGGGAGCGGACCCGCGGGTCGGGTCGAGTGAGAAGCAAGGACGGGAAGGAGAGAGGGGGGAGCAGGGAGAGAGAAATCGCTGCGAAGGACGGCTGGTTGCGGGTTCCCAGGCGGCGGGTCCAGGTGGGGTAGGAACTGCTGTCCGGGGAGGGGAGGAGAGTGGGGCTGGGGGAGCGCCAAGTGAGGGACTGAGAGGTGAGGACGGGGAGGGGGAGACCGAAGATTGGGAAGGAGAGGTCGAGGCGGAGAGAGGAGACTGCTAGAAGAAAAACGGAAAGAGGGGCGAAGGGGGAGTCGGTAGGAGGAAGAAGAGGTAGGAGGAGGGCGGGATAGAAGGAAAGCAAGAGGGTTGGAGGTTCTTGAGAAGGAGAGAGACGGGGACAGGGGAGGGCGAGGGGAACCAACGTTGTGGCAGCATAACAACTCCGGAGGGCTCCCAGGGGGCTGTCATGGAAGGAACTGGGGGAGAAGTCCTCGGCCAGGGGAACTGCGGGCTGGAAGATGCCCCAGACGTCTTGGCTAGAGCCCCCGTCCCCCTCGCGCCTGAGTGGCCACTGCCCCTTGCCTCGTCTGCCCTTACCTTGCTCCTAGGGGCGCTCACCTCTCTCTTCCTCTGGTACTGCTATCGCCTGGGCTCCCAGGACATGCAGGTCCTGGGGGCTGGGGGGCTGGTGGGGACTGTCAGTGGTGGGTCAGACAGATGTTCAGAGGCTGGCAGGCCAAGCCCGGGAAGTCCCGGGGAGCCTGGGGAAGGACCCGGGACAGAAGGTCTAGTGAGCCGACGGCTCCGTGCCTATGCCAGGCGCTACTCCTGGGCGGGGATGGGTAGGGTGAGGCGGGCAGCTCAGGGTGGCCCAGGCCCTGGGGGAGGGCCAGTGGTCCTGGGTATTCAGCGACCAGGCCTATTTTTCCTGCCGGACCTGCCCTCTGTCCCCTTTGTGCCACGCGATGCCCAGCGGCATGATGTGGAGCTCTTGGAGAGCAGCTTCCCTGCCATTTTGCGGGACTTTGGGGCTGTGAACTGGGACTTCTCAGGGTCTGCCCCTCTGCCTCGGGGCTGGTCCCCACCCCTAGCCCCTGGGTGCTACCAGCTCCTGCTATACCAAGCAGGCCGGTGCCAACCCAGCAACTGTCGCCGGTGCCCGGGGGCCTACCGGGCACTAAGGGGGCTTCGGAGCTTTATGAGTGCCAACACCTTCGGCAATGCCGGCTTTTCCGTCCTCCTGCCTGGGGCCCGGCTAGAGAGCCGCTGTGGGCCCACCAATGCTCGGGTGAGATGCCATTTGGGTAAGTGGATGCTGCCTTCACCATCTCCCCCTCAGGACTCTCCTCTGCCATCCTGCCCTCTTGGTGTGGCTCTGAGCATGTCTCTCTCTCTCTCAGGTGTTCATGACTTGTGCCGCCAGTATGGCCCATTGCATTTCCTGAGCCCCAGTTACCTGCCAGCCATCTCTGTGAGCTTTGCCACAGCCATTCACCATTTGTATTGTTTCCTCATATTCACTTCTAAACATTTAAAACATTTTTTTTGCAGGGGGGGACGGCCTTTTGGGTTACACCCAGTGGTGCTCCAGTTTTACTCTCAGCTCTGTGCTCAGGGATCACTCCTGGTGGAGTTTGGGAGACCATGTGGTCAGGAATCAAAATCAAAGCTGGGTCGGTTACATGCAGGACAAACGTCCTAACCTCTACTCTCTCTTCCCGTCCTCTTTTTACTTATTTAAAATAAGTATTTTTAGAATAATAGTATTCACTATTATGTATAAAATGCTCCTAACCAACAAAATACTTTTTTTTTGCTTTTTAGGCCACACCCAGCAATGCTGCTTCTGAGTAACCAGGGGTTACTCCTGGTTCTGCACTCAGGAATTAGTCCTGACAGTGCTTGGGGGACCATATGGGATACCAGGGATCGAACCCGGGTCGGCTGTGTACGTGCAAAGCAAACGCCCTATCTGCTGTAGTATCACTCTGGCCCCAAAAACTTTTAAAAATGAAAGTTTTAAAAATTCTTCCCATGGTTCCTGAGACTGAAGCCTATAATCTATTTTTTTTTTTTTTTGTCACACTCAGCAATGCTCAGGTGGAGCTCAAGGCTTACTCTTGGCTCTGCATTCATGCGTTCAGGGATCACTCCTAGCAGTGCTCAGGGTTCCAGGCATCAAATCTGGGTCGGCCACATATAAAGCAAGCACCCTACCCACTGTACTATTGCTCTGGTCCCATACTCTTTTCCTATAGAAGGGAGCAATGTAAGGCTAGGGTAGCACCAAAGTGTTTTTTTTTTTTCCTTTTGGGTCACACCCAGCAATGATCAGGGGTTTCTCATGGCTCTGCACTCAGGAATTACTCCTGGTGGTGCTTGGGGGACCATATGGGATTCCGGGAATTGAACTCGGGTTGGCTGCATGCAAGGCAAACACCCTACTCACTATAATATCACACCGACCCCAAAGGTTTTTTTTTTGGCTTTTTGGGTCACACCTGGCGATGCACAGGGGTTACTCTTGGCTCTGCACTCAGGAATTACCCCTGGCGGTGCTCAGGGGACCATATGGGATGCTGGGAATCGAACCGGGGTCGGCTGCATGCAAGGCAAACGCCCTACCTGGTGTGCTATTGCTCCATCCCCAACCAAAGTGGTTTTAAAGGAAAGAAAATGGAGGAAAAATCAAAGTTTTGTCATTGTTAATATCCTGACCTCGTTTTGCCTAAAGCCATCCCCTGTGCTATCAGCTGGGTGTATCCAAAGACCAGCAAGGACAAACCTTTATCTGACTCCCACTCTCCCTTCCTTCCTCTAAAGCATTGAAGGCCTTCTGGCTGACGTCCACTCATCATAAGCCAGAGGATGCCACTCCTCCCAGGAAGCCTCCCCTTCTTTTCTGGAACATAATAGGTTGTACCCTGCCCTTCCTTTCCCTAACTCCTAGCACTTATTTTATCAGTACTACATTGTAACTTTGCTCAGGTCACCTTCCAAAGAGCAAACAACTACCAAATAACCTGAACCTGGCTGGCCCTCAGAACAGACTGAATGGGGTGGGCCCTTTGGGAGAGGCAGTTTTGGGTCCAACGTCTCTTTCCATAGGTCTGAAGATCCCTCCTGGCTGCGAGCTGGTGGTTGGGGGCGAGCCCCAGTGCTGGGCTGAAGGACACTGCCTACTCGTGGATGACTCTTTCCTGCATACAGTGGCGCATAATGGTAACAAGAATCTCATTCTGCTAAGATGGATAGGAAGTGAAAGTGAAGGGGACAGAGGAGAAGAATCAGGCCCAACTGGCTTCTGGTTCTAGCACCACCATCTTCCACCTGCATGGCCATGAATGAGTCACGTAACTTCTATTGTCTGTGAAGATGGGGCAACTTTATCAGGTGACTGTGAGGTTTTCATACTTGTGCAAAGACCCTACATGCAGACCACTAGGGCTTCTGCCCAGTCTCTGGCAGCTACTGTGTGACCTTGGGAAAATCATTATACATCTTTGTACCTGCTACATTGTGTTAACTGGTATTATAGTACTACCTCGGCTTGTTTTCATGTGTTAGACAAGTGCCTAGCATTTATTTATTGTGTTTGTATGAATATTTGGTCAGTTGTCTGGAACATAAGTCCCTGATTAATGCTCTCTTGTCTCCATTCCCGTCATGTGCCCTAGGTTCCCCTGAAGATGGGCCCCGAGTGGTCTTCATTGTGGACCTCTGGCACCCCAATGTGGCTGGGGCAGAGCGCCAAGCCCTTGACTATGTCTTCGCACCAGCCCCTTGAAGGAAAATTCTCCCTTCATCTCTCTGGGCCAGAGTCCCCACACACAGGCATGGCGTGGCTGGCAGCCAGGCGCTCCTCTTCATTGGGGGTGGCAGAGGAGGGTGGGAACACTAACACACTCAGCTCACAGTGAAATATAGATTTTTCAAACCTCTTCTAACTCCTGGTGTCTTTCTTCCCAGCTACCAGCCCCAGGAAGGGTTTGGGGCTCATGTCTCCTCCTTCCCACCTGAAAGATCTCCCTGGCCCTTTCCTGAGAGCCAGTACCAGACCCCCAAAATCAACTTTATTCCAATAATTTAATAGAAAATCAAAATAATAAATAATATGAAACAAACAAAGAAGACAGCTTGGCCGGTGCAGACCTTGGCCAGCCTCGTACAAAGTTAAGGAGGAAGGACAAAGATGGGGTGAGGATCGGGGTGAGAGAATACAGCAGCGGGGAAGCAGCACAGAAGAGGTGGGATCACGAGGGGCTGCTCATCACTTTGGCATGTACAGTGTATGGGGGGGAGGGAGAGAGTTTCTAAGTCATTCTAGGAAAGGGAGCAGGACAAGGGAACAAATTTAGGGCCTTCTGAAAGGCTCCAACTGAGAGGAGGGATTGGAGTATACAATATTATTAGCACTGACAGAGGAAGGACTGGAAAAGGGCCAAAGTGAACTGTATCATGCAATGGAGGACAGAGGCGAGCCCGCGACTTGGCCAGCAAAGTCGTGGTAAAGGTTTAGAAAGGGGAAGGTGCTTGGTCCCAGTGGCAGAAGAAAAGAGGGGCAAGGGTCAAAGGTCAGTCCTTGAAGACAATCTGTTGGCCATGAGGACGCTCGTCGTGGGTGATGTGGCGCCGGACGTGGATCCTGCGGACACGATGCTCCCGGTTCTCCTCGTCTTCCCCTCGACCTGGCGCACCACCTCCAGCGGCACCCCCTGTGGCCTCCAGGAGAGCGGGGTCTGGACCCCGGGGCGTCTCGTAGATCAGAATGTTCAGGGTTTCCTCAAAGATTCGCGCCTCTGGGAATTCCACCTGCAAAAGGTCAGCAACCCCCAGCTCCTACTGTCCAGCCCAGCATCACAGTCTGCCCCCTGGGGGCCCACCTGTCCCCAAAAGTCTTCTAGCTTTCACAATCAGGGGTTCTTTGGCCTGGATTGCCCTCTTGGTTACTTCTTTACTCAATAAGTCACATTAATACTGCAGGGTACACTTCTGGAATTAGGCAGAGTTATTTCTCCTCTTATTTGCTCTCGTGTCATGGTATGACACTCATTGGCATGTTGAGTGACTTCTCTGTAGCTACAGGTGTGGGTCTCAGCAGTGGGAAAACAGAAGCAGGCATAAAGTAAGTTCTGGCCCACATGTAGTCTCCATTCTAGGTGGAGGATGGAGACACACAACTGATTAATTATAAACTATCAGCTGATGGAGAATATTACAGGGGAAAGAAAGAAGAATACAACAAGAAAAAAAGAATGGGGGGGGCACAGAGTGATAGTTGAGCAGGGAGGGCGTTTGCCTTGTACACTGCTGACCCAGGTTCAATCCCCAGCATCCCATATAGTCCCCTGAGCACCGCCAGGAGTAATTCCCAAGTGCAGAGCCAGGAGTAACCCCTGAGCATTGCTGGGTGTAACCCAAAGAAAGAAAGAAAAAAAAAGCAGGGGGATGGTCATGGCCAGGAATAGCAAAATTTTAAAGAACACTCAGAGAAGTGACTCAAGCAAAGGCCAGTGGAGGGGAGGGAGGAACATGGGGGGTGGTGAGAGACAGTCATGTGGGAGCTCTGGGACAGGCTCTGGGGCAGGAGTGTGCTCTGTGTGAAGGCATGATCAGTATCGAGGAAGCCAATGATCTGAGGCACAGTGGTGAGGGAAGAGTAGAAAGGGATAAAGCAAACGTGACTGGCAGGTATCTTTGTGTATTTCGGAGGGACAATGAACAGACTTGCAAAAAGCTGCATGCTAACTACTGGTTACCTTCCTGGCTTCCAAGGGAAGTATATAATTCAGGACTTGGTGTGATGAAATTCAGGAGTTGGTGTGATGATCAGTCACTCTGTTCATCTATTCCTTCATTCCTTTCCTTTCCATATTCCCTAATTACCACCACATGATTAAAGGCCTGGGTAATGCTAGTGATCAGGAAAGAAGATATAGCCCAAGCTAGCCTCAAGGAGCTAATACCAAAGGTCCAGGAGATGGTACAGTGGCTAAAACACCTGACTTACAAGTGTGAGGTCATGAGTCTGATCCCTGGTGCACCACAAGCAATTTCTGGCTACACCACAGCCAGATGTGTGTGCTCCCCAGAACGAAAGGGTGTGATCTCCAATAAGCACAATTAAAGAAAGGTGTGCAAGCAATTAGAGAAAGGTGTGCAAGCACTGCAGCCTCCCTACTTTTGGCTAAGCACTGTGCCAGGCTTGAAATCTCAGTGAAAAAATACTGAGTAATTGCAAGCCCTCTGCCATGTTATTCCCTTGACCATCTTAATAACCTGGTCCCTTCTGATCATAGTAAGGTAAAGGTAAAGGTAAAGGCCCTCCCGTTGATCGTCGATTTGCTCGAGCGGGCCCAGTAACGTCTCCATTGGAGACTTTGTTGTTACTGTGTCTGGCATATCCAATACTCTCGGTAGCTTGCCGGGCTCTCCGAGAGGGGCGGAGGAATCGAACTCGGGTCGGCCATGTTGGCCGCTGGTAAGGCGAACGCCCTACCCGCTGTGCTATCGCTCCAGCCCTATCATAGTAAGAGTGATCACAATAATATCTTAAAATCTCTAAGCAAACAAGTCTGCCTAATGAACTAAATCTCTAAGCCTCTAGCTAAGCATCACTTTCTTTGGTTAACACTTTTGCTCAGTTTGTTGGGCATGCTTCCTTTTTAATTAATTTTTTTGCTTTTTGGGTCACACCCGGCAATGCACAGGTTACTCCTGGCTCTGCACTCAGGAATTACTCCTGGTGGTGCTCAGAGGACCATATGGGATGCTGGGAATCGAACTTGGGTCGGCTGCGTGCAAGGCAAACACTCTACCCGCTGTGCTATCGCTCCAGTCCCCATGCTTCCTTTTTAGTTAGTGTTTTTGTGTAGTCACAGAGAGGGTGAAGAGACACAGACTTTAGCAGCTGTTAGGTTATTTTTACTCCCTCCCTCAGCTGTGACTGGGTGTAGTGCTTGCACATTTTAGTTGTGATATTTACCAGGGGTTGCACGTCAGGTTTTGGTGCTCATGAGCCAGGGTGGAGGGCCACACTCCTTTAGCTGTGGTACTAGCACATGTGTTCATTGGGGTACTCAGAGAGTATTAGCTGATGATTGTTGGGTTCATGATTCAGGACTGAAAGGCAGTGTTTCTAAGAGATCTGACTATTCTGAAATCAAATTTTGGATTTTTGGGGGGTAGGGGGAGGTGCACACATGGCAGTGCTCAGGGCTCACTCCTAGCTCTGTGCTTGGAATCATTCCTGGTGGGCTTGGAGGCCCATAAGGGGTGCTGGGGATACAACCCAAGACTGACTACACACAAGGCAAGCACCTTACCCACTACATGTACTACCTATACAGTCCTGAGGTCTTGATTTTTTTTTAAGCGGGGCGGGGTTTAGATCAGGTGCTGGGTATTGAACCCAGGTTGGCCACATGCCAGGCAAATGCCTTACCCACTGTGCATCTCTAAGGCCCTGAGATGCTGAGTTTTAAGTACCTATTTTGGGTCATGTGCCCTTCAGAAAGTCTAACAAAAAATGGACACACACATGCTTCCAATAGGCATACTATTTTAGGGGGTCACCCAAAACCCCACTTGAATTCAACATCTTATTTCACAGATAGGGAAATGGAGACCCATAGAGTAGGTTAACTTGCCCAAGGGGACCCAGCTAAGACTATAGAATCTGAACCCCTACTCCCAGAAAGATTCCCCGTGCCTGACCAGCTGAGCTGCTCTGGTCCGGGGGGTCAACCCCCCACCCCCCACAGTTCTTCCCGAGCCCCCTTCTGACCTTGGTCTGCTTCTTCTCTGTAGCATAGACGATGGAGGTGCAGCACACCTCTGCGATTTTGCGGCCCTGCCCGTAGAAAGACCAGCAGCAGATCTCATCCCCCAGGACATCCTTAAGGAAGAGCAGCCGCCCATGGAAGCGCAGGGCCAGTTTGTCAAACAGCTCGATGTTCTTGAGCAGGTTGTCATCTGAAGTGCTGAGGATCAGGGGCCAAAAGATCTTAGGAACTGGCTTCCTTCCCTCTGTCTCCCTGCCTGCCTGCAGAGGCCAGCACCCTGGGGTCCCAGGAGTTTCTGATCTGCAGGGGGCGCCTCTTCCAACTCAAGGGCAGACCAAGTGGGCCTCAGAAAGGAAGTTGCATTTTTAAAAAATGTAATCATTTCTTTTAAGTTTAGTTTTGGTTTTTGGGCCACAGCAGGGGATGCTCAGGGGTCACTCCTGCCTCTGCACTCAGGAGTCACTCCTGGGGGCAGTATAGGATGCCAAGGATTGAACCCCTGTTGGCCATGAATGAGGCAAATGCCCTACCAGCTAAACTATCTCATCAGCCTCAGAAGTTGCATATGTTGAACAAATCCCAGTCTACCAGAATGGCTTCCTGTGTGGATTTTGGAGTCAGGTCTGGCATCCTAGTTCCACCATTTTTTTTTTTTTGGTGTGTGTGTGTGTGTGTCACACCTGGTGGTGCTCAGGGTTTACTCTTCAAAGTGCTTGGGGAACCTTATGGAATGCTGAGGATCAAACCTGGGTTGGCAGCATGCAAGGCAGCCTTACCCGCTGTACTATCTCTCTGGCTCCACCAATTTTAATTGAGTTCAAGTATAAAGTTATTTTACTTCTCAGAGACTGAGCTCTTGGAGATTCCAACAGTACCAACCCCAAACAATTGTGACGACTATGCAAAGTAAGGGATGCCAAACATGTAAGAGCAATGCCTACTGTAAATGCTTATTACTGCTAACTACTCCTCATCAGAACCCCAGTTTCTGATAAAAATGAAGCTCACCAGTATCGAAAATATCCAGTGGGT